TAAATAAAATTATTTACACAGAGTCTATTACTATTTTTTATTATTCTTTGACTAATATTGCTCTGATCAAATTTTTAAAGTACGAACTCTATGCCAAGAAACCTATGCTGTAATTTTTTGACTCTATGTTTCGGAATGGCACAAAATGGTTTTATTGTCTTATAATTTTATGCAAATCCAAAAGAAAATCATCTCAACGAAAACGACAATAAAATTATTATTCAGCAGCCTTTACCAACAGAGGCGCACAATTTAAAGACCACTTTTTCCTCCTTTCCAATAGCTTTTCTTTTTTGTGAAATAGGTAAATTGGCATGATGGGCACCGAAAATTTATTTCAGTTTTTAAACCAGCATTTTTACTCCTTTATAATTGGTCATTGAAAGCATTTTGAGTGCAAATTCACGAAACTATTAAGCTTCTAATCAATGAACATTCAAACAATTCATTTGAGGGAATGTGTATTTTAATTTTCTGCAAAGCTGCAGAAATAAGAAGCTTTAGGGAGATTTGACAAGATCTCAGTGACAATTCTATGGCAGGATTCGTTCAATTAATTTGCGTAAATCCAAATAGAAAAAACCCAAGGGGAAAATGGTTCACGGAAATGGGTATTTTAAAACATGCTGAAGTTTCTAACAACATTATAATCAAGACAAAGAGTAAAGCGCCACTGTGCAAGAAGCACAGAATGTATTATCAAGTTATCATTGCAGAAAAAATTGATTGAAATTGCAAAAAGCGTAGCCCGTTGCTAATATTGGGGTGCAAGTAGCACAGAATGTTCTAATCAAATTCTAAAAAAAAAGTCTTTCGTTTTTTTTCTCCAAATTTGTGTCTGTGGTGATGCAAAGAAAGACTTGAATCTAGAGCGTGGTTGATTTATATTTAATCATAATCGACAGTTGTCTTCAAAAAAAAAACAAAAAAAAAACTTCAATAAAATTTCAACAAATTATTTATGATGATGGAATAATCTTTTAATTAAGCCGTGAAAAGCTTAAATTTAAAGCTTCCCGTTAACAGATTTGAATGAACTCTGCAAAAAGTAAATGGTCGTACAGTGTTTTCAAACCATTTTATGATTATATAAAAACTGCTATATAAAAGTTTTGAATCAATTTTCAAACCGGAAAAAAGCAAAACTGTTCATGGAAAATACTCTCAATACATTTTTTCGAGTTGCTTTTCATAACTTATAGCACGAAATATATCGGATGTTAATTGTCCCAAATTGGCTTACTTGGAAACCTGTAAACCCCATAACGTTACGATTTTGTAAACCCCATAACGTGGAATTTTGTAGTTGAGCTCAGGAAAACAAAACCTTTCCTATGATACAAAAAATTCCGTCAAAAACGTCTGATCTCCCTCCTTTTGTAAACGATTTCCCCCTTTGGTAAACGGATTGCCAGCCCTATAATGATTTAATTCAATGATTAAGCATATGTGAGCTTTGCACCTAGTAACGAACCTCCCTTTTTGCGAAAGGGGAAAATAATTGTAGAGAACCAAAATGGCTAGTTAAAACGTCAAAATTTGTCTGGAAAAAACCACCGCGAGCACAAATATTCAATCAATTTCTTCGAAAGTCGGAACAATAATTACGATGAAAAGAACAATTCTATCAAAAATGTTGTCATTAAGGCCAATTAAACCCGAGATTTTCGAAAACAAAAAAATTGATGGACGTTTTGACAAAGAAGCAGATTAATCGCGAGGTTCCTTGTTACGTTGTTTCAATTGAGTGGTAAAAGCAGACTTTTGTCACTCAATTAAATTTTGTGTCACATTTTGTGTCGAAATTCCGAACTAAGAAGAAGATCCAATCTTGTTTGAAATAATAAAAAGAAACATGCCACAATTACCATTTGATATGGCGCAGCAAACCCAACTTGAGTTTGTATGATGGACAATGAAGGCACTAAAAAGTTTCCAAATTTTCTAAAGGCGCCTTTGGCAACAATATATACAAATTTTAAGGGTGGAGCGCGCGCCAAAAAAGGCAATTTTTTGGTCAAAACTATCCAAAAAACGCCCTTTTTCGGCCTGTTTTTTCAAAATTTTGCGCATAAATTTGGGCCAAAACACAACCAGAGTCTTTATCGCTTTGGGAGAGCTCGTAGAATCAATTTGGTCGACCTAAAAAAAGTCGACAAATTTTTCGAATTTTTTTTTGAAAATCCGCCCCCTCGAAAAAATCCTAGATCCGCCCCCCCCCCCCCGCTGAGAGGCCACAACTTCGCCCAGCTGGGTAGTGCTGCATAACAAATGTGTTACTTATTTTGCGAAATTCAGGACAAAAATTTTACCCCAAAAATGGGTCGTTTAGCTTTTTAACAATTTAAAAATTACACAGAAACTACCAGGTTAATTGATTAAAACAATTATATCAAAAGAAGCCTCTTACACATCCCAACAAAGTCTAGAAAAGTAAAATCTCCGAAAATCTGTATAAGAGAACATATTGTTGCTGATTGATAGCCGAAAACTGTCATGTTACTACATAAAACTCAAAATATTTGTTTAAAAACAAACTTTTAACGTTTTACACAATTTTATGGCAAGTTTACCACTCTAACACTTTGTTGGGGGCTGTGCAAGATGCTTCTAACTTTCTCATCAATTAACCTGATAGTTTCAGTGTAATTCTTGAGAAACACTTGCGTAAAATTTTGGTTGCGAATTCCGCAAATTACACCATAATAATTCTGGTAAAATCTAAGCTATTTTTTTTCTGTTCACTTTTTGTCCAATCTTGTCCCAATTCGAGAAAAACTCGTTTGAAGTTTCAAACTATGTTCTTTTTGTCAGGAAAATGTAAACCAGCACTGTATTTTTAAGGTCAATTTGTTGAATTTTCGATCGACAAAAAAAAATTTCCTTTAAATAAGGAAGCGCTTAATTTCACAAAAAGTTTCACAAAAAGTTTCTATTTGGCACAAAAAGTTTCAAATAATAGTGAAAGTGAAAATGAAAGTGCAAAATAGAAAAAAAGTGGTTAAAAAAATTCTGTTCTCGCCAGTGAATTTTGAAAATTAATGCCAGTGGTGTTTGGACGAAGGAAAAAAGATTGTAAACAGCTACGACATTGTCAAACACTATAAACTAATTCAAAATTAGGCACACGATTTAGAAATTCTCCAATACTCATAATTTACAAAAGCACATGCGAAAAACTCAAACCAGGAGGACTCATTTCACAGATAAACTTTTGTAAAAATTGCCTGAATCAGAAAAAAATCTGCGGTGTACCGATTAAGACGTCCATAAGCAATTGAAAAAACAACCGATAGACCGACACCTAACTTTTTCAAGCTAAAAAATTTGCAGAAAGAACAGGTCCTGGTCCGATTAAAACCTGGAAATTTTTCCAAGCTAAAAAGTTTGAATTGGCTGTAAGATCAGGTAATTTCCGGATTAAAGCAGGTCATATTGCCAGGCATGGTTGTTACCTCCCATACAAACGTGCATTATAAGAAGCAGAATTTGAATTTATCATAATTAAACCCATCAAACGATTCAACGATCTGTTGAACAAGTTACGATTTGATAACGCTTCTTACGATTTGATAACGCTTCTTAATTGCAATCGCATAAAGCTGGTTTTGCATTCATTTCGAGACAAACCGGTCTGAACGTTTGGCAATTCGGACTCAAATTTAGCGAAAACGTTATTTTGGCGAAAACAAAAAAAAACAAGATGAACTTTTGGCAACGAAAAAAAAACAAGATTTCCGTTGTTCGAACAATTAATTAATTTGCTTAATAAGTGCACAACATTAGGATACTTTGTTTTTTAATATTGTGTTTTAAGCTAATTTTTGATTTCGGAGCGCCAGCTGAAAACTTAAGTAGCCCACAAAAGTAACCAAAAATTAAGATCCGTTTGTATCGCTTTTTGATTTTTATTCGTAACTTTTAGTTGTGTTTTTTCGGAGCTTATATTACTGCGACGAAATTAAGCCAGACTAGTTACCTACTGTAATTCACTCGCATTATACAGTGCTGATTTAAATTAACCGGACAAAACGCGTTAAACTTGAAATTTAAAACCCGTTTTTCTCAAATTGGGTTGAGTTTAGGAGAAAACTTATGAAGACAAAACTTGCTTAAAATTTTAGCAAAATTAATATGGTGTAATTTGTTTTGCAAAATTCGGGCCCGAAATTTTATCCCAAAAATGGGTCATTTTGGCTTTTTTTAGTTAATCAAAAATTACGCCAAAAATGCCCGGTCGATCACAGACATAATTATATGAAAGTGAGCCCATTACGTAGCCCAGCAAACTTTATGAGGGGCATAACCTCCAAAAAAAGTTGCAAATTGTTTAAAAATTGTTTTTAAATAAAAAGTTGGTATTCTATTTAGTAAAACCGACCTTTTTTGTCTATCAAACAAAAGTAAGAAATTTTATACAATTTTTTGGAGGTTATGCCCTTCTTAAAGTTTGTTGGCCTAAGTAAGGGGCTCACTTTCATATAATTATGTCTGTGATCGACCGGGTATTTTTGGCGTAATTTTTGATTAACTAAGAAAAACCAAAATGACCCATTTTTGGGGTAAAATTTCGGGCCCGAATTTTGCAAAACAAATTACACCATAATAATTCTGCTAAAATTTTAAGCAAGTTTTGTCTTCATAATTTTCCTCCTAAACTCAACCCAATTTGAGAAAAACGGGTTTTAACTTTCAAGTTTAACGCGTTTTGTCCGGTTAATTTAAATCAGCACTGTACCACTTGTGCTGAATGAAGCGAAGCGGAGCAAGTGTGTGCTACTTACCACTGCCACTTTAGAGGCTAATTGTTACAATTTGAAGCGTGTTACCAATTGTCGCGGGTCAATTATTATTCAATCTGCAACCAGATACTTTAGGTGGACAACTTGACAAGAACACATAAACTGAATGGGCAATAGATCTGACAGCTACACGGCAAATTGTTCAAAGTCAACAAATTTGCTATACGCGGAATGAAACTGATTGAAAATTTAATTTACCTTCTAGAGGAAAGAAGACTTCTTGAAAAAAAATGCTCTGAGTGACAAATGGCTCTCTGTGTACAGATCTGTTTAAGTTAATAACAAGAACTAAAATCAAAAAGGTTGAATTGTTAACTTCTCAACGATTTCCTTCAGTCGGTGAAACTGAACAGCCTTAGAAAAAGATTTAAAAAACTCTACAAAGCTGATAGGCTGAAAATTAAGCACTATTTATGGTTCATATCGAAATTTGCAGCTCAAATTGCAGCAAATTTTGCAGCGAAAAGCGCAAATTGACTAGAAAAAATCAGATAGCAGTGACTATTATCAGTTCAAATGGTAATACAAAAATATATTTGAGACTAAATCTGTCCATAGTATCTAGTGGTGGAAACGGAAAAAGCCGTATGCGAAAAAGAAGCCATTGGCGCGCTATTTTCCATACAGGCCAGTGAAAAAGAATGGAAAAAAGATCACTTCGTTGCTCATCGCTAATCTTCGCATGCCTTTGTTGACTTTTGAACGGATTTTAGGGCGAATTTTTATTAAAGGCCTCCTGAAAAGGCAATTTTGAGAAACTAACCAGGGGATGCAATATCTTCGTTTATGGCAAGCAAATGTTAGTTACAGTCACTTAAGTCTGAAAACAGAGTTCAATCAAGCGATGAATCAAAGCAACATACAGCTTAATATTACAGAGAACCAATAGCAGGAGAGAGGGAGCAATAGAGAAAACCACCCACGCACCCCATAAACACTAAATTTGACGCCTTAAAAGAGCTTAACCAAAGCAAAAGGAACCTTGGCATTTTGCCGGGAAGCCTTTTAAACAAGTTATTTTTAAATGAGCATTTCATACATTTAAAGCGTTTTGCAAGCAATTAGAATTAGGGTCCGTATTGAAATTTCCTCCCATTACTTTGCAAAGCAGTAAGACGGTTTGCTTCGCTTCTTTCGAGTTGACATATACTGCTGATGGCGATCTTCAGCGGGGTAGAAAACAGGCGCCGGGTAAAAAACTTCAGTCGCTAGAACAAGTTCCGAGTTGTCGCTAGATTTACCCGCGGTCCACTCATTCAAAAATTTCCTGCAGTTGACAAACTGAGACTCGGTAGTGCACCATATGCATGACTTATATTGAGATTTCCCAGTCGGACCCGTTTCTTGCTCTCCCTCGAGTTCATCAGAAACTTTTCTTCTGCGAAAAGGGTTGTGATTTGAAATGAAAATTTGAAATATATCATCAATAGAAATTACACAAGAGTCGTAGACTACTTTCACTGCTTCTGTGTGCCCTGAAGAGCCTTCACATACGTCTTCATAAGAAGGATCCTTAAGATGTCCACCCATATACCCAACGGATGTGACAAAGACTCCATCGGTTTCCCAGAAAAGTTGCTCGGGGCACCAGAAACAACCCATGCCGAAGTAGATCACTTCATTGCCTTCTGGGTAAGGGGGGTAGAGAGGATTTTGGCTCACTTTGTGATGAGTGAGAGAGTGGAGATCAGAATAAGTGCAAGTAAAATCATCGTCGGCCATTTTTGTCTTCGGGTATATCTATGTAAAACTGCTGTTTCAAAAGAATAAATATATTGTGATAAATAAGTATACTAACTTACAGCTCGTTTTGGAGCTGCAGACGAATCATTTTTGAAGTCTAATGATTACATTTGATATGAAAAAATAAGTCTTATATTGTTCAATGGTCAAGAAACACACGATGAGTTTTTCTAAAATCATTTAAATGCTCGAGCAAGCATGCTCGAGATGATTAGAAAAACAAACCGAAAACTAAAGTCTAGTCTCAAAGGATAGACACAGTCATACTTATTCCAGTTCACCCACAACCACAGAAAGAAGGAAAACACATTCAAAACAAAACATTTATTACCAGGTAACATGTTTCGTTTCACAATCAGTTTGTGGTTCTAACTACATTCAAATACTCTCTACGTACATCCAACTTAAAGATGACATTTAAAATAAAATTTATATATACCACGTGTGAACGTGGTGTTTAACTGGTTATTACGAGTCCTTGTTATCATTTATGGGCGATCGATTACAATAGTATGTCCGTACAAACGCCATAGAAGAGCTCTCTCGGATAATGACATTGAGTCGTTTAATAAAAAATGGGTTAATCTGTTTTGAGACCAGTTTGGAGTAGCGTGTAACGGAAAATGAGTAGCACTTTCAAAGTGCAGTATTAGATTCCCGAAATATCAAAAAATGTTTTCAAAGTGATATTCTATTGTAATCCAGCGCTCATTTGTGGCCATCAGGTGACCAATCAGAGCTCAACTTTGGGACATGCGACCCCAGTGCCTCTCATCGAGCAGTAACCTCCTGGGTTTTTATGCAGGTATTGTTGGTGGTAGTCCTCGGCGTAGTAGAAGGGACCCGCAGGCAGGATCTCAGTGGTGATGGGCTTCGAGAGCAGGTTCTGGTAGACCTCCTTGGACTTCTCCAACAGCGGCTTCTGGTCTTCTCTCGTATAGTAGAGACCACTTCTGTACTGAGTTCCCACGTCATTGCCCTGAAACCATTTATCACTCATGAAATTTCTACACTGAGTCAAATCGGAGCTTCGCACCCCCTTACGATAAAAAACTAAACTCCATTGTTCGGTCATTAAAACAATCCTTTTTTCGAAAAGTACAATCTCTGACACACCAATGATTCGTACAAGCTCATTTGAAAGATTAAAACCCAAGCAAAGGAATTACTTGTGTAACGGTAAACAATTTTTTTTTGCTATCAGAAGAAATCATGAATTCGAAAGATAAGATTTGATAGATCAGTTTAGAACAGCCGACTTTCGAATTTCACAAAAGATGGCCTTAAAGCTCCTCTGAATTTCTTATAAAATTTATGATTGATAACTTTGAAAAAATCCAATATGAGAAAAATGGATCAATAAGTAAACTTTTTATTCCGCTGCAAAACCTGAAAAACAAAATCCACTTTCGAACCTAGAAGCTGATCATGCTTTTCGTGAACCTAACTATTTCTCTGTTCATAGTGGAGTTTGACTTCCTTTTAAAAAGGCAATGAACTGAACTTAAGAAGAAATCAAAAAGTCAAAAAAATCCTGAAACTCAATTACTTGATGCATAACAGCAAACAATCAAAAGGATTTGTAGTTAAAATTATTTCAATCATAAAAACAGTAGTGTTATTTCAACTGAGCCGACAAAAAATAAACAGAAAAACGAGAATGCCCTCAATTTCTTACTCGGCAAAAGATTTTGAATTTTTGAAAAAGAACGTTTTGGTCGGACTCGATCCCAGGAATTTGTCGCTCAATAATGGACGTTACCTCGGCACCAGATATGCCTAAACTTTTTTTATTATAAGCTAAGCTACAATCATTCAGCAATTTTGTTAGAAACAGAGTCGAAACGGAGCTTCGCACCACTTCTGATACTACACAAACAGCATCGAAAGCTAGCAGACAACAGATGAAAGGAAAACGTAAAAATTAGAAAAAGTTTCGAAGAAACCACAACTACAAAAACGTCAAAATTTTGCCTGGAACGATAATCAATTTGAGGAAAACACGCCAAGAAACCCAATAATTGCCGGTAATTAAGTATTTAGAAACAATTATCAAGGGGCAACTAATCCGATAAAAGTTAGAATTTTGTTGAACTCCCGGAATTGTGCTAAAAAATTGTGATTGTGTTCAATTTTTCCAAATATTCACCAGAGGTTTTCCCCCAAAAAAACACACGACTGCAAATAATCTATACTTCGAGGCATTTTTGAAAAAAAACATCGATTTTTTTTCAAAACATTTTGAAAAAAAAAAAACATTTTTGACAAAAAAACATCGTGTTGATTAACTGTAAATGTAAAGACTTAAGTGATAAGATAAGAAGTACGTGAGATAATAGCCTACTTGTTATCTCAATCACCTTTCGTAATTACGAGATTGTCTCTGCGTAATTCGATTCAAAATGTACCATTTTAAGCTGATACCAATTTAAGGAGATATCAACATTAATCAAGTAGACTACATATTCTGAAGTACTTCTTATCTTATCACTTCTTGTTTTACATTTACAGTTAATCAGCACAATTAAATCTTCGAAGTAATCAGTCTAGACAACTGAAAGCGCATTTCACATTTTTAAAATAGAAAACCTTGTAACAATTGTGACGTGAGGCTTATAAAAGCTTTAAAAAATCTGCTCATTTCTGTGGTGCACATACAGTAAATTACTGAAATAATTCACGAAACAAAAAAAGCAAAAAAGGTAACTTTATGGAACATTTTTAACGACTTCTTGTAGACCATCCCAAAACTGTTTTTCAAAGTGCTCCTTGCTCTTTTACGTTTCAGCGGCAGCATTTCGCCTAATTAAATGTTTTTCATGAATTTCCCGGCATAGTGACGTTTTTCAACATTTAAAAACAATATACATATCATCCGTTTCCACATACGCAGTTCTCTTGGTCCAACATCATTCAACTTTACCATAAGCTCCAAGTACTGTAAATTCACGGCAAATAGTTTGGTCAATTTTTGAGGGTGATTGAATCGGGTACGTATCTAAAATTTTTTGAAGGCAGATTTTCAAAAATGGGTGGTGATAGGGTCGAATCCCTGAAGAAAGATCCCCTTGCCAGCCCATTAAAAAGTATCGCCCATGATTCTTCTGACGAATTGATGAATCAGAGCTGTTTTTTCTTCACACCTGTCTCATTCCTTGAGTAGGGTCATGTGCCTCCCAGAATATCTTCAGCAAGTCACTCAGCGCCACCTCGTTGGGGTCATAGACCACACGCACCACTTCATTGTGTCCAGTATTGCCAGTACACACCTGCTCATAGGTGGGATTCTTAGTGAACCCTCCAGCATACCCCACTTGAGTGGAAAACACTCCAGACTTCTTCCAGAAGACGCGCTCGGCGCCCCAGAAACAACCCAGACCAAATACCTATGGTAACAAGAATAGCAGGTTATCATGCCAGCAGGACAGAATACTCGATCATATCTGCAAAAAATCCAATTTTTGATACGTATAAGTTTTTGTCATGTTTCTTTTTCCAGGGAGGTGAAGGTATAAGCTAAGGCGGCAATTGACATCTACTAGCTTCCTATAAACCACTTAAGCCGGTTTGGTTAAAATAGTGGAAAGAAAGAGAGACTCAGGTCGAATGACCTTCAGTCTAAATTAACCAAAAGCGCACCCGCCTTTTCTCGGCACTGAAAAAATCTTTCAATATCCTGCCAATCACAATTTGAAGGTCATCAAATTGATTTATCAGCCTATTTCCTGTTTATTTTGGGTACCTGATTTTGCGCGGATGAAAACCCGAAAAACACGCTCGAACCTCTAAACTATGTCTGAAACTCATCCATTTTGTAGCCCATTAATGATATACTTAGAAAATATAAATATTGTACATCTTTAGAAATTACAAAGAAAAAAATGCGATTTGGAATACAAAGTTTTAGTAATTCAATTTTTATAGAGACCAATGCAAAAACCAACTTGCTTATCATTTATAAGCTGAATTTAGGAATCTTGAATTCAAGGTTATTCACTTGAACGTGATCCCGAAAATCAGGATAGAAAAGCTTGAATCAGTTTGAAAATTATTAGAAAACTAATTCTACGTAATTGAATAATTAATTGCTCGATAATCGGCTATAATGCTATTAGAGATTCGATGGCAATATCAGGATCAATATATATTACCAACCATCAAGTGAAACGTGGGATCGAATGGTTCCCTAGTTGGGTTCCCATTCACAGCGTGTTTGGAAGCCACTTTCAGAACCACGTCAGATCCTTTCATCGCTGTCTCAGCGGTCGGCATTGGCATCGATCTCCCCATGACCATACGCAGCAGTCTCATGCAACGAGCTGTCTGAAAAAAGAAACTTATTCTTGCAAAAGACCAATTAGAATTTCGCAACATTTGCTATTCTATTAATACATTGCATTACAAAATAATTTTTAAAAAAGTTCAAAAAATGCCATAGCTTTGTTCGTAAATACCGATTCTAAGCAACCCTTGAAGCTACGCGACATAACTTGACTTGCGATACAATTAAATCAATTCATTACAAGATGTTGAACAGAAAAAGAGGAGTCTTTTCTGCAAAAAAAAATAAGCTGAACAAATAACATGAAAAAAGACCGAAAAACTATCTACATAAACTTCAGACGATGTTCACAAACAATCTTAACAAGCATTGAGAATAAATGACCGAGCGGTAACGAAGGCCAAAAAATGGGCCGAGCCTCCTAAAGCCGAAAACGATAGACAAAAAACCATTCAAGCTATGAAAATTTTTGATATAAAAATTTCACGAACCAACCTTCCTGAAACAAGCAAAAGCATCAAAACTATTATCCTTTACAGATTCGCAGCATAAAATGACTTGCAATACAATTAGAGCAATTCATTAAAAGATATTGAATAAAACGGTATTTTTTCCGAAATTAAGCTGAAAAAATAACATGCTTAAAGTCCAAAAAAACTATCTACAAAAGTTTCATACCTTTGTCTTGGAAAATTGCACAGAGAGGCGAAGTTCCACTTCGCATACACAAGCAAAATATGACCACTAACGCTACTGGGAGAAACTGAATGAGTAACACTTTGAGTCTACAAAATTTAAGTGACGCACGCCAATTATTGGTCTGCATAATGGCTAAGTGACGCAAGCCAATTACCCATTAGCAGTACCAATCAATTTGAAAAAAAACTTACCGACGACCATGCCTCAATTTATTGAGCGGACGCATTTCAATTGGTGTGCGAAAAAGTTCATTAAAACATGCGACCACGCCCAGGTTCGAACCCTCTCATGTTGCCGGTCTCCTTACCGACCTCTACGCTACAGATCCAACATACCTTAAAACTAACGTGCTATTTGTAAAATAATAGAGGGTGTTAATAACCTTAGCATTGGCTGTACTTAATAGCTGGTTATTGATCAAAATGAACACACTTTGTCGCAACAATAAGTGCGTCGCAAAAATATTTGCTACATAAGTTGGAAAAAAGAGAGTTTCTACTATAACAAGCTCTGCCTGTGTAATAAACAGCCTCAACGTGTATTGAAAATTAATAATCGAATGGTAATGCAGGTAAAAAACTGGGTCGCACCTCGTTAGGCCGAAAACTAAATTTAGACAAAAAACATTCAAGCTAAAAAAATTTTATTTAAATTTTTAGGATCCATCCCTCTTAAACATGCAAAAGCAATTAAAACAATTAGCCCTTGAAACTGCGCAATATAAATTGACTAAGTCGAAAGAACATAAGCGGAACCCGTTTTAGCGGAAAAAATCAAAAAACAGAGTTGGTAAATTTACAAACAAGAGAACAACTTTCAATTCGAGTAAAAACTGTTTGAAAAAGAAATTTAAACACCCTAGCTTTGAAAAAAAAACTTGAACAGCTGACCGGATAAGTTAAATTGCATTTGAAAACAAAAATGGAAAATCAGCCGACAGAAATTAGGACGAAAAACAAAAATCCGAAAAAAAACCAACATTTTACACAGAAGCGAAGCTGAGCTTCGCACCACTTGCGATACAAAGAGTAAAAAATTGAATTATTATGAAGCGTGGCAAACAAGACTTCGAGCGAAGAAAAAATTGAAAAGGGAACGAAAAAAAAATTTGCAAAAAGAAAAAAGGAAATTTTCTCATGAATAAACTCGTAAACATTTTTAGAGGACACTGTGAGTTTGATATTGAGCAATCAAAAATATGGAGTTAGAATATTATCGATCTTCAAAACAAAACTGGAAACTAGCAGGAAACAAAAAATTAGGTAGAAAAGCCGACAAAACTTCAACCGACAGCCAATAAGCTGAAAAACAATGGAAAGATACTGTATATTTAGTGTCCACGAGTGCTTCATGTGTATGCAGTGAATGCCAGACCCAACTTTTGAACCAAACCGACACAGTTGAGGTCGACAACCATAAAGCAGAAAACTTGCAAAAAATACAACACTAACATAACAAAACAAACAAGCAGACAGAAATTGAGAAAAAAGCCGCTAAGTTTAAAATTTTCCCAAAATGAAACAACATAATACAAGCAAAAAAGTTTAATCTACGTTCATTTTCATATCTCAGTATCAATTTGGGTAAAAAAGAAATTGTTTTTTTAAATCAAAAATAACATGCAAACTAAGACAACTGAAAGGTAAATTTGCATCGGAACAGAAATTACGTAGCGGCAACAGCCCAACAAAGCTATTTGCATGAATAATAATCGCATTCGTAATAATTCGGAATCTTCAAAAAGAAGCGGAATCTTCGGAAGTCAAAGAATGTCTGTGCAACGCGAACTAAGCCGAACAAAAATGGAGACGGACAACTGCCCGATAAAGCAATAAAATTCTAGTTTTAAAAAAAACAATTCCGGGTAGATTCGAACCATTTGAAGCATATATGCCAGATAATTGATTGAAAATGAGTTCATAATAAACGAACTAATAAGCCAAAAAGTAATTTTAAATTAGACATTTTTTTCATGTTTATTTTTCTAATTGTACAACGGAGGTTTAAGAGGGTGATTTTGTTTTTTGCAAAATTTCCTGTTAGCAATCAATCGTCATAAAACCAACATAAATTATGGATATAAAAAAAAATTTAAGAAAGTAGGCCGACAGTATTAAGGCCTAACGACTTCAGTGCCGAACATCTACAAAATTTTTGAATCTGATAAAAAATTATAGGCAACTCTTAATATAAACACAAGGCCAATACAGCGACCATGCAATCAACAAACCATGCGCATAAACCCATGGGCATAAAAAATACGGCTTACAATTTGACCATTCTGTGAACAAAGTTATTTGCGGGGATAAAAATCTAGTACCCGAGTGCAATACCCTTGCTTATCGCATTGGCAACAACAATTATATTTCTAAAATTTATGTATAACCCCACATGAACTAATAACCTAAAACCTAACTGTATCAGAAATTTCAAGAACTTTAGCATGTCTGCAGAAAATGTAAGAAAATTTGTTAATGGAAAAAAGTTTACAAGTCAGATTTTCATTCTAATCTTACAAATGTACTCAACTCTTGAAATCATTTTCTACAATTTTCTAAATATTGTTTTTTGAATAATCCAAAGCAATTGAAAAAATAATATTTGTCCCAGAGGAGAAGCTGAGCTTGGCACCACTTGCGATACAAAATGAATAACTGATGAAAATCAAACGAAAATAAAAATCGAAATGTGTTTGAAAATCTTCGAAAATTGTTCTTGTCATAAAAATTGCAAAAGAAAAACAAAAAAAGTCCGGAACAAAACTATCTGCACTAATAGAAACTATACAAGGAGTTTCGGAAAGCTAGAAAAAAAGCCGAACTTTCAAAAAATCGTTTCTGCGCGAACTCAGCCGACCAAAAAATTCAACTGACAGGCAGAAATCTAAACTAGCCGAAAATTTTCAGTTTGCAAAAACTCTAATTCCCAATGGAATCGAACTATCGGGCTTAGTCGTGACTTACAGCAACTTAGGAGAAAGCTGGATTTTCAAAAAAATTGCTACGGGAACAAAACCAACAAAAAACAGACGCAAGATAGACATGAAAGGCATAAAACTCCAGTCTGCAAAAAACAGGTCCCAAAAGGAATCGAACTACAAGTGTTGCCATCTCAAGCCGTTGCATTAGCTCTACGCCAGATGTGCCGAATAGTTAATTAAACTTTTATTTACAATTACCAAGTTGAAGTCGCTAATATTCGTCAATTAAGCAAGTTCAGTTTCTTATAGATTATTCTGAACAGTCTGATGTAAAGTGACTTAATCTCCCAAGTTTAAATAGGTCTCTTTACTGGATTAAAACCAAGTTGCTTCTCTGGTCATAAAATAAGCTGTTCATAACATAAGATAACTTCAAACTACTTTTTGATGAAAGCCTAATTTTGACACCACGTTTAGATTATTGAACAAAGGCGGATCAAGAAGACGGTTGAAGAAAAATATGACACAGAGGCGAAGCAAAACTTCGCACCACTTGCGATGCAAAAATTGAAAGACAAAAAAAGTTGTCAAAACATCAGATTACAAAATTGTTGGAAAAACATTTTAGAAAATTATATAAGCAACAAAATTGGCCTACCTTCAACTTACTTTTGAAACCTGCCTGCTAGTCATCGAAAACTTGCGTAGACACGCAATCAAACCCTTGGTAAACTGCATTGATGAAAGAACCAAAAACCACTTACTCTGATATACTTTTTAAATAAGTAAATGAAAGACATAAATACCGAACAATATTGTTCAATTATTCAAATGCCTAGTCAAATTAGATTAGAAACACAACAAATGTAATCTCAACAAGATTTTTAACTGTACTTTTGAAAATAGTTTGAGTACTCTGAACAGAAAGGTGATCTGAACAGTTTTTTTTTTTCAAAACAATATGGGCTAAGAAGCAATGATAACATATTTTCAATTCTCGTATTTTCGATAAAAATAAAAAATTGCGAAAACACATCTCTGAATCACCTACACCAAAAAAAATGATAAAACAGATGATTGAACAAAAAAAGCATAATAGGTTAAAACCAAAGTCATTGTGCAAAATGAAAAAAAAAAAATTTCAATTTCAAAAAAAAATCGAATGTTTTTTTTTCATTTTCAAAATTTTTACTTTTATTAGGAAGGGTCTGGAAAATGATTTAGATTTGACCATAATGTTTTGTAGGACTTCAAACCTTCTTATAAAAACCAAGTAATTCAAAAAAAATCGTTCGGAAAATGAGCCGATGGTAATAAAGACGACACTAAAAAGCCGAAAAAATACCGAACTTTTTTTAGCACAAAATTAACTTTTAAATGAGCCCATGAGATATACCTAACATGAACATACTGCATTTATCTCTGCAGTAAAACACGTGCGAATTCAATTCACGTGCATAATCTGTGGACAAGGTTGTTTACGTGAAAAAGTCTAGTACCCGGTTGCAATACCCTTATTAGTACCGTTGTAAAAAACCATCGTGATATATGAACATCAAACTATACAGCGCTGATTAAAATTAACCAGACAAAAGTAACAAAAATGTCTAACTTCAAAGGCTTTTTCCTCAAATTGGGTTCAGATTAAACAGAAAAGCGCAGAGAACCAAGTTGCTCAGAATTTCACCTCAATTAATATGGTGCAATTTATATTACGCAATTCAAAATTTTTCCCTAATATTAGCTTCTTTTAGTTAATCAAAAAAGAAGTTGGAACTACCGGGTTAATTGACAAGAAAGTTATATCAAAAGACGCCTCTTCCACAGCCCCACAAAGTTTAAAAAAGATAAAAATTCCAAAAATTAGCGCAAAACAATTGAAATTTATTTTTAAGCAAAGATTTTGATTATGTCGATATCAACTAAAAATATATTCTCTTATACAGATTTTTGGAGATTTTACCCTTCTACAACTTTGTCGAGGTGGGTAAGAAGCTTCTTTTGATATGATTTTCTCAGTAACCCTCGATAACTTCAGCTAGATTAAATATAAAAAAAACACCAAAATTACCCATCAAAGGAAAATTTTGGCTGCGAGTTCCGAAAAATAAATTGCAACAAATTAATTCAGTTGAAACTCTGAGCAATATTAATTCGCTTCTTTTTTTGTCTTATCTTAACCCAATTTGAGAAAAAAAGCCTTTGAATCTTTAAATTTTGTTCGTTGTCTCCGGTTATTTTAAATCCACACTACACCATACACAAGTGCAAGTGATACCTTAAAGCTAAAGTGCTATTTGTAATATAATAGTCTGTGTTAATATCCGTATCATTGGCTGTACTTAATAGCTGGTTATTGATCAAAATGAAAACTTTCAAAATTAACACTAATATTTGCGATTAAGGTAGGAAAAAAAGTACTTTTAGAAAAGAAAATAGTCCTCTGACTTTGCAGCAAAAAGTATTTAAAAAACTATGTAGAAAAAGATTCAAAAATCTTGTACCCCTTGCAAATTTAAAAATTATGGGAATCTAACACTTGCAAATAATCACTTTAATGCATATAAGCACTTACATACAAAAAAATAAACCTGGCAAAAAAATTGAAACCCTTTATCAAAAAAGGAATAAATTTACACAGAGGGGCGAAGCTGAGGTTCCCACTACTTGCGATACAACAAAAAAAGGCACGGCAGCTAGCACAAAAAAGGACGCAAAAAACATTTAAAAAATTGATTTTTTTGTTAGTCTGGAATGCAGATAAATTTAAGGAAAAATACCGAAAACACCATCGTGTTAAATAAGCATGTTGCCAGTGGTAAAGAATCATTAAAAATAAAATTCATTAATCGGATATTGAGCAGACAAAACTTGGGTAGACGACTGTTGAGCTTTGGCACTTAAAACCACAAATTATCAGGCAAGTAAACAGATATGCATCAGCCAAGCTAACTGATTCAACTGATTTAGTTAAACTAGTTGTCAACCCCAAACAAAAGTCCATATTCCAGTTTGATAACGCTTGCTAATCTCAAGCGTAAATATCATTCCAAGACTGAGATGAATATAATTAGACTCACCCGCTAATAACACAAGGTTTCGCAAAAAGTAAGAAACTTTCTTAGAAAAATAACCGACACTGTAGGAAAAGCGCCTTCGCAATAGAGGAAAGCGAGCAAAGAAACTCCAGGAAAACCAAAAGATGATTGAATATTTTGAGCTCTAGAATCTAAGAAATAATAATGTAAAAATCAAGAAACTTTCATGAATGACTTCGTTCACAAAACTAACCGATTAACAGAAAACTGGATCAAAAATTATGTTTCAAATCCGTTGCCAATTCTGCGTTTTTGCACTTGTTCTTATAGATCTTAAACGACCTCTATTCTAGCAGAAAATCAATAACCAAACAGCAAGCAAAAAACCACTTTTTGAGACATTTCTTTAAATGTGAACAAAAACCGCAAAACCTAAATAACTGTTATCACTTCTCATTGACATTCGAAAATTAGACACAACGTAAGAACTTTGCTAACTCATTTTCTAAACTTTGCTAAACAGATATGCATCAGCCAAGCTAACTGATTCAAATGATTTAGTTAAACTAGTTGTCAACCCCAAACAAAAGTCCATATTCCAGTTGCCTTCAAATCAAGGGTTGTCCAACAATCCCCAGAAAAAGTTGGGGATATTGAAAGTTGGAAATTTACCTCCAACGGGACCCGAACCTATGCCATCGACTAATACAGATTTGGAGTCTACTGCCTCCACAGTTGAGCTATATGCACTGTCATGCTGTCATCGAAATACCATCCACAAAAATATGAGCTCGTATTTTTCGAATAGCAGCCACATTGACACTACATTTGGCTCTTTTCCGAAAGTGGAACTAATTAACTCGACTCAGATTAGAACACAGTTAAATCGTAGCACAACAAGCGTTTGCTCAAGCTTTAAAGATTCATTCAAAAATCGAGCTGCTCAAAATATTAAAAAAGCAGATTATAAGCGTCCGAAGAAAACTATTTGCGCCATTTCCACATTTTTAGCTATTACTTATTATACTCCTCTCGAAAATAAAATTTAAAAAACCAGCGCTAGAAAAATTCAAAACAAATAGACAAAAGCGAAATGAAGCTCAGTGCCTCACCTTCTACGCAAAGCCAGCCAGCACACCACACCGCAAAAACACGCAAAAATGGCAAAGTGCAGCTTCTGAAAAATTTGAATCTTACGGGATTCCAACCCCAACTTCCAGAATTAAAGCGAAGTCTTCACAACTAACCCATGACATCTACCTGTATTCCGACTCTAGCCACCAAAAAGCGGTTAAAACATTCAATATGAAATTGTGCAAGGGCAATGATTCTTCTGGACCAAATTAGACTTAAATACAAAACAGCTAAGTAAAACGAATTTTCCCCAGCTTATTGACACATTATCATACGCACATACAAGACAAAGACAATCACAGATCTTTAAGACAAATATATATCTTTGACCAGGAGCGGATTTAGGGGGGGGGGGACGCCCCGCCTCAGGGATGCAACCCACTGCCGACTCAAAGGGTCCCCTTTCGTACTAATTTAAGACATCCACTTTTGGCTGACCGACAACAAAATTTTTCTTAAGACGCCTTGCGCGACAATATATACTAATTTTGAAGGGGAGCTCGCGCCGAAATAACGCAATTTTTTTCTCAACATTTTCCAAAAGTGCCTAAAAACGGGCTTTCGGCCTGTTTTTTTCAAAAAATTGCCTGCGGCGCTTATAATATGGTAAAAATGGGGTTTTTATAGTGATTAGGGAGCGCTCAGAATCTCAATTTGGTCGACCTACAAAAAGGTCGACAAAGTTTTCGATATTTTTTTCTAGGCAAAAATGAACTCGAAAAGGTTTATTGTGAACTTTTTAAAGCAGATTCTGTTATCACTAGACAAATACTCAAGGCAATTATTCGACCTGCTAATTTCTAATCAAAATGAACATTCTATTAACATACGAATTTCAAAAGATCGAATAGTTATTTAAAACAACATAATAACATTTTACTCATCTCTATCATCATCATCAATATCATACACAATATCTGATGCACCGTAATTGGCGGCAAAAAGAATGACCTATTTCCACAACTTTTTAACAGATACATTTTTATCGCTATCTTTTTGCATAATTTTGGCCACAGCCAATTCAAAGTCTTCTTGTGTAACATGAACCCTTCGCTCTCTTAACGCGTACATTCCAGCTTCAGTGCAAACACCTTTGACCTCTGCGCCTGTAGCTCCGGGCATCGCAGTCGCGATTTTCCTCAAATTAATACCACGAGTCAGGTTCATTTTTCTCGAGTGGATTTTCAAAATGTCAAGTCTCGCAAACTCATTGGGTGCAGGGAACTCAATTTTCCTGTCAATTCTACCCGGTCGTAAAAGTGCCGGGTCCAAAATGTCTATTCTGTTGGTTGCCATAATGACCTTGATATTCTGTTTCGGTTCAAATCCATCCAGCTGGTTCAGCAATTCCAACATAGTCCTCTGCACCTCGCTGTCTCCTCCGCCGCCGGATTCGATTCTGGTCGACCCAATAGAGTCAATTTCGTCCATGAAAATTATACTGGGTGCATGTTCGCGAGCTAACACGAACAATTCTCGCACCATTCTTGAACCCTCGCCAATAAACTTTTGCACGAGCTCTGATCCGGAGACCCGGATGAAAGTGCAGTCAGTGTGGTGAGCCACTGCTCTGGCTAGAAGCGTCTTTCCAGTTCCTGTAAATCAGAACTGCCTACTCAATCTGACCTTAATTCTGTTGGTGGCCATAATAACCTCGATATTCAGTTTTGACACGAAAATTCCTATGGTGTCCTGTTGGATATGAGCATAGCCAACACACAGATGGGAAAGAAACAATGCATGCAAACAGAAAAAAAATCAATTGAGTTGTTCTTTGAAAAAATAAATGCCCTTAAAACTCTTTGAATTTCTAAAGCAATGATTCTATGATGGACACTTTTTGATAAAATTAAACCCGTTTGAGAAAACTGGACCAATCGGTAAAATTTTTACTTCGCTTGCAAATAAGAAAAAATTTCTTTTCGAAACTAGAAGTCGATCACGTTTTTCGTGACCTTTACACTTTGGCTGTTCGATAGTGGCGTTTTCCTTCTTTTTACACTAGCAAAAACACGGTAAAAAGCAGCTATAGAAAGTGCAATAAGAAAAAAAACAGAAAAAGCCTAGAATAAGCAAAAATTCGGCTAGGTATAGGAATCGATCTGTGACCTACTGCAATCAAGAGATTTTGAGTCCCACGCACTAACTTCTCAGACACGCACGCTGAACCACCGACAAACACTAGTCACCAATAAAGCTACAAGCTAATAAATTGCCAATCAATTCAGCAAAAGTGGCACCAAATACAAATAGACACAATTTTGAAAGTAATAATGTGGAATATAAAACGAAAGCATCCAAACGATAACTTTGCGTGTAATAAATTATAAGTTTTTCCTAAAAAACAAAAACGAAGAAAATCATAATAATAATGAAAATAATTACGAGTCTAAATTACGTCCATCGACTCTTATTAAGCAAGTTATGAGGACCAATATCCAGATAGTGAAGATACATAAAGGATTGGCATTGAAGTTTATTATTTTATAGTTTTCTATGCAAAAACTGAGCTTTCGATTACTGAGGAGTTCATGTTCGCTATTCTAATGACCTAGCAGACTCACCTGGTGGTCCATATAGAAGAACTCCTTTGGGCTGCGCAATGCCCAATGCCTCGAACAGCTCAGGGTGTTTGACAGGGAGTTCGATGACCTCTTTGATCTCCTTGATCTGCTTGTCCAGTCCTCCCACCATGTCATAAGTGGAGTCCGGCACTTTCTCAACCATCATCAAACTCACTAAAGGATCCACCTAAACATCATCATTTGATTACACCTTCTATTCTTCTTCTACGCTGATTACATAATTTGAATACACTCAAGAAATGATCATATAAACCAATGTTCCAGAGTAAAGCGAAATGATTCACATTTCATGCACGGAATTTTCATTTGCGCAGTTTATGGAAATTGGTTTTAAAAACAATATTCCAGCAAAGGCTCCTTCGACGAATTCAACATATGGGAAAGAAACCTGTAAGAGAAACAAAAATTGATTATTTTAATACAAATTTTTTTACAGTTCCAAGATATTCAATTTATAGGCATGGTGACTCATTTAATGTTTTAAAAAACGAAGAACGAAAATGATGGGGAAGGCATTTTTTGAGAAAAAAAACAGGCGTTTTTTAGTTATTTTTTTGCCAACAGAAACAGTTTAGATCTCAACAAACAAACCACTATACAAAGCCAACAGACAGTTGGGGAAATGTCAATGAACTCACGGAACCGAAAATGATAGCGACTTTAAAACATTTTTCAATTTTTGAATTTCGAAGAAAAATTACAGCAAATTAAGACCTTTAATCTCTTATGTGCGGCACTTTTTCCTTTAAACTAACCTTTTGAGAAAAATGAATCAATAGATAACTTTGTATTCAGCTGGTAAGTCTGTAAATTATTTTTGAAAAAGTCATTCACGTTTTGTCATGCCAATTGCTGTTTTTATTAGAGAGCGCATTGAATTTCCATAAGCGTACACAGCTAGAAATGAAATCATATATTCGAAAAATCTTTCCAATCACGTAAAAAAACCTAATCCAGAACTTGTCCCACAAAAACTCAGACAACGACATTTCACGCAGTCGAATTTTTTTGTTGGTTCTATAACTCAAAACAATTTCTATCCAAACTCTAGAGGAAAATAGACAATACTTAGGGAAAAAGAACACTAGTTAAAAAAAACTCGAGTCCCGCTTTATATTGCAATTATTTCGAAAAATTTGTCCATGTTTAGGGCCGATGCTATTGCACCAAAATCTGCTGATAATTTTTAGTTACAACTTCAATTTTACAAATGTAACGTTTTCTCGACTCTTTTAAAAGATCATAGGTAGCTAACATCAATTAGAAAAACGTCAATGAACGCAAAGAAACAGAAAGAAAAATCAACTTTCAAAACTCAAAAAAAAACATGCCCATTAAGCTTTTCGATTTAAAAGAACAATTTATCAAAACCAGTTTTTAAACGCAAGTAACTTTATTAAAGAAAATTGGATCAATATGTAAATTGATCAAAATGTAAATTGAAACTAAAAGTCGATAACACTTTTAGTGACCTTTAAACTTTTGCTAAATCGATCATTAAATCTCGGACTGGGAATCTGCAAAAGAGCCCACCCAATTGTGTAAAACTTCGAATAAATTAAGTTACCGAGGTTGGTTACTAGCCTCATATCGAAATACCAAAAATGCTCTCTGCGGCTACTTATTAATGCACCTAACCGCACCTTTTTCTTCAATTAGGATAGAAAAAAGCTGTTACAATACACAATTAATTTGGCCATTTTACTAACTCTGAAATTAGTTACAGGACTGAAAAACTTCCAACACTAATTTTATTATCCAGGGGCGAGTCTAAGATTTTCTCGAGGGAGGGGGCGGATTTTCAAAAAATTTTCAAAAATTTAGTCGAAACTTTTTTTAGGTCGACCACATTGATTTTCCGACTTTGTTTTGGTCAAATTTTCTGCTCCGCAAACAAAACTTTAAAAAAAAACAGGCCAAAAAGGGCGTTTTTAGGCACTTTTTGGAACATTTTGACCAAAAAATCGCGTTTTTTCGGCACGCGCTTCCCCGCTCAAAGTTAGTATTCATTAGCGCCAAAGGTGCCTTTAGAAAATTTTTAGGGCCCGTCACAAACAAAAACAGATATCTCAAAATAGTATTAAGGGGGACCCTTTGGGGTAGGCAGGAAGTCGAATCCCTAAATCCGCCCCTAAATCTTTTGTCGTTTAAGGCTCCCTGTCAATTTCTATCTTCAAAAATGTGTTCAAATTTTGCACCAACAATTATCATCGATTTTCAAACACATTTACTTGTTCTAAATGACATTACACAAGTTTGTTACAAGGGACAAGACGCTAAGGCATAGGAGTGAGTTTTTAATAGCATTTTGACTACCTCAAAAGCTTGTAGTGGATCAATAGTGGAATCATATTGAGCCTTTTGAAACGTGATTCGAGTTCCAAAAAAGTAAAACTCAGTAACATTGACAAACTAAAGTAGCGTGCCGAGGAGGGGGGTCAATAAGGATATTGACCAGCCAATGTCCATGTTGGCTGGTCAACCTCAAATATTTTCAAAGGGCACCTTCAGCGCAATATAACTAAATTTGAGCAAAGATCTAAACAAAAAAATAGAGCTTAGGTATATTCGACAGTGATAGTCAGCACAGAGGCGAGGCTTCGCTTCGCAAATACTAGCGAGAACACGACAAAAAAGCAGGTCTTTAGAGTGCAATAAAAAAGTAGAAATAAGCCTCGAATTAGCAAAAAATTCGGCTACGTCTGAGATTCCAACATGCGACACAGAGATTAAGAGTCTCACATCCTAACCACTCAGTCACGGAAGCTTAATAGGTAATAGCCAAACACTAGACACAGATAAAGCGGAGAACAGATGCTATGCAATTTCCAATGCTACAGTGAACTTTCCAAATAAGTGAACACTTTTAATAACACTTTTATTTGCGAGCTAGGTTAGGAATAAAGAACAATGGTAACAATACACTAAGCTGACGCTAGTGTATATATGCCAATTAGAAAACAGTTTTTGTAGAAAATATATGAAAAACCGAAAGAAAAAATGGTTAACAAAATTTTCCAAATTAGTGCTAATCAAAAAATTCAAACTGCTTTTTCTGGAAACTGAGAAATTGTTTTCAAATTTTTAAATGCCTTTCGAATCACGACTGAAAAGCCTTTAATATGATAAATCGCTCGACCCATTCCGACGATTATTTGTGGTACCTCATTTTCCGTGGAAAACAAAAAAACTAAAACACACCCGAATAAATAGTTCCTCGACTTTTTTCAAATGGTCGGAACAATTATGTTTGGGCGATGTGTGTGGGGGAAAAGGAAAAAGAGCTGAGGAGATACAATCATAGTGCAGATCTGTTACCTTATTTGGCAGTATTTTGTGCAGAGTGTATGAGTCGCTCTTGAGGGCCACTCGGCAGTTGGGAGTCACTGACGTCATCTCTATGTTCTTGTCCAGATCCACCACAAATTTACCCTCTGGGTGCACTAAAATACAACAATTTTCAAATTCAAACTCGAAACTTTTTCCCCAAAATAACGGACATTGTCCCCCAGAACAGAAACGCAGCAATTTCTATCAGATTAATCAAAAACAGTCATGTAATAAATCAAGCTTCACAGAGAGCAAAAAAGCAGATAAGACAGTTGGACGTGTTAGACATCTTCGCTTTCGATTCTAAAGTAGTTTAATGTGAATCAGCTTGATCAATAGATATTGTTTGTAGAATAGTATTCAAAAATTCTATATCATAGATATTTTTAAAATAATTCTAACCCAGTTTGAGACACATTAATCAATAGGTATGATTTTTATTCCGCTGAAAAAAATTAATTACAACTCATTTTGTAATAAAATCTATCGAAAATTTTGCACCACTTTCCACTTTTTTTTATTAGAGAGCATCGTTTGTCTTCCTTTACCTCAAAAAACTGAAGTGAACTTAAAAAAGGATTACGTCTCAAATGGCATAATTCCCAAATGGCATAAAAATGAAGAATTTCCTAAATGGCATAAATTTCGGTGAATTCCCATAGGTTCCAATATTCATAGGTTCCAAAATTAAAAATCAGTCGCATAAGTTCCAAAATTTATCTTCTTGAATTCTGATTGGTTGAAATTTGAGCCAACGAATTTATGGATTGGTTGTTTACTGTTCAACCAGCATAAACTCAAGCTGCAGAATAGTGAGTGCCGCAGCCGCGCCAACGTGTTGCGAGATTGCCACCAAAGGGTAGGACTCTATACGAAATTTAAAGCCGGTTATCGCCGCGAAGCGGCGACGCGCGCGTAGCGCGCCCACCGGCGACTTTAAACCGAGACTCGGCTAATTTAGTCTTTTGACCAATTGAAAAGATTTGGAACTTATGCGACTGCTTTTTTATTTTGGAACCTATGGGACTGATTTTTCATTTTGGAACCTATGGATACGCACCTAAATTTCATGCAACAGTTGCATTGGAAAAATCGAGAACAATTTTTTCGTGAACAATGTGAGAAAATTAGTCAAATTGTCAATTCAAATGTTGATTGACATTTTATCGTGAAAAACTTGTAGAACTTTTTATCAAAAGCAAGAAGCATAAGCTTGCGATTATTAAAAGCTACTTGTGGTCAATTTTTTTTCGACAAATCTGTTGCTTAAATTTGTTTGGAAGCACTTAATTCCAAATCTTGTTCACATGCTTTCGTTCCTGACAAAACGATAGAAATAGAAATTGATAGAAAACGTTTAAATTACAATGAAAACTTGAAATTTATGCCATTTGGGAAAAGTTTCCGTTTTTATGCCATTTGGGAATTATGCCATTTGGGAAGTTACCTTAAAAAAGCAGTAGTCATAACATGAAAGAGAACCTAATCACTTAAAAATTCTTCCTGAACCAAAACCACGCAATGTGAACAAATCGAACTTCAGCAAAAATATTACATATACACAAAGCAAATGATCAGAAGCTTTCCATCGGAGTAAATTTTTTTTAAATTTTCATGCGACGTGAAACATTCTGAGCGAGAAAATTGAAAATATCAGTGCAGAAAATGTACTAAAACGCTGTTTCCTTCTTTTTTACGCGGTTTGAAAAACATCGATCAGACGAAGAAATCTGAAATTTTTAGACCCGGCTTAAATTGTTGAGTTTTTGATACCAAATTTTTATAGTTTCATACAGGGTAGCTTTGATCATAGAGGGTAGGTTTGATATTGGTCTATTTGATAAATTTTGCTAAGTTCAAAGTAAATGTTGTACATTGAAAACAGGCATTTTAGAGAGTAAGAACCTGAATTTGTATTTAACTTTGTCAAGTACTGTATTTCAATTTTTCTCTTTTCAAACTACCTATCCTTTGGAAACTAGACCAAAAAAAATAATTTTGATTCGTAATGTAATTTTTATGTTAATAAAGCACGCATGTACCTCCAATTAAATTAAATGTAGCAGGTAATTAAATTTGAAGACAACTGCTCTCGCAAGTGTAATCACAAATGAGCTCTTTTTCCAGTTTCCCACCCCTCTCGTATAATCACAAAATAAAGCTGTTCAAAAATTGAGCTCTTTTCCAGTTTCCCACCCCACGTAAAACTTTGAAATAAAGCTGTTGAAAAATTGTTCACATGGCATTTTGCAAGCAGAAAATGTACTGAAAATTTGTTCACCTGTTTATGAAACGTTTTAATGCAGTTTACATCATGAGAAAAGATTTTGAATAAACTTTCATATTTTGAATTTCAGAAAAAATCCAAGGACACAGAAATGAATTAAGCTGATTGTTTTGACAAATGATTAAAGCCGCTATTAGTTTTTGTCTAACAGTTACAACGTTTTCAGCTTTTTTCCACTCTACTCCCCCCCCCAAAGTATGAGCAACAAATCTGTTCACATATGTTGAGTTGTTCACCATCTAAAAGTTCTTACAACGTAACATAGTTTTATTCAAAACTGAAATTCAAATGTGGGGGGAAAGTGGAAAAGAGCCACGTTTTGCAAAAAAAAGTCAGGAAAACATTGTACAAAGTACCTTTTACGAGAACTTTTTTCTTGTCCATTGCCTTGACCACCTCTCCAACATGGCTGCCTTGCTCTTGCAGCAGCGACAACTCCTCCCTTAACAGCCTCACTTTGGAATTCAGTTGGTTCCTCTGAGCTTCCAGTCTTGCCAGATTCTTCGTCTTCTCATTCACAACCATCTCCAGTTCATCAATCTTCGCCAGGTAATACTGCCTGATTCCGTCTGTCTTGTGTTGCTCGCCCCCACCCAATTCCATGGCTTCTCCTCCTGGTCCAGTCGAGGGGGCAAGTTGAACTTTAACGTTGGCAGCAGGAGTCATAGTCGCACTCTCAAAAATGATAAAGGAGGCTGAATTATTACTGTCAACACTGTCTGAGCGAGCACGCCGTCGGTTCATTTTAGTCACAATTTAACTCCATTGAGAGATTTACGATTGCTACCTGACCTAGGCTCTTTTACCGTTCTTCCACAACTACTAATATTTCATACTTGGCATAACTTTCGATGACATAAACCAATTGTTTATAAAAATATTTGGCTCTTTTCCAGTTCCCCCCTTTTCAAAATACCGAGTTTTATGTTTGTGTTACGTGTTATTACGGCTAAATGCGTGATGTTACGCTGTAAAGTATGAAGAACAAATCTGTTCACAGTTGTCGATTTGTTCACCACTCCAAAGTTCATTGCATTATGACAACGTTAAAAAAAGCTTTTCCAAATTGAATTTGAAAAGGGGGAACTGGAAAAGAGTCAAATATTTAGCATCTAGACTAGTGAACACTTCTGTTTGTGAAAATGTCTGAAAAGTCCATGGTTACACAATCTGCTGAAGCTTACAGTCTCGTGTGAGGTGTACGGTAAAAGATCCCAGACCAATTTCAAAATGAGTATTCTCGTGTTGCTGCTATTCGTATATTTGCTTTTCAAAACGCACGTGCAGTCCACTTTAAACACCTGTTTTACACGAAGGTACAACTGATACTCTAAGGATTTCCTAAACCTTAGCCAAACTGAAAATATACGATGTTTGGCATTTTTGCTCTTCCGAGAACCCGACAGTCTATTTGATAATATAGGCCAGAGATAGTGTGTCAAAAGCTCCGGGAAATGGAAAAAATCGAAAGTTTTCTCAACTTGGGAGCGCTTACCCAATTTTCGTATCAACCAGACAACGTGAACTAAATTTTAATATACGGAAAAAATGCACGGGAGTGGGGATCGTACTAGACTCATTTAACACTTTCAACTTTAAGATTCTTTTATGATTGGCACTTTTTTGATAAAATCAGCATATGTTGAGAAAACTGGGTCAGGTGTACATTGCTCGTCCCGCTCAGAAACCATTCACGTTTAAATAATTCACGTTAATTCTCCTTCCATTTAATTTAACACATGAACTTGAAGTGAACTTAAAACAAAAATCCAACCGCTAAAAAGAAAAATGACACAGATGCGAAGCGGAGATTCGCATCACTTCCGATACATCGCAAGCGCAGTGTTGCATGTTAGCGAATAAAAAATTAGACGAAAATAACAAAATCGAAAAAATATACACAGGAAAAAAATGAAATCATTTCAGAAAAAAATCGAAAAGCAAAACTAACAGTTTTGAATAAGCTTTTGGTATTTGCCAAGCTGCACCTAAGCCGACAAGTGGGTAGAGGCGCAATGAACCGAAAACAAAAACGTCATAAGAAATAGTTGTAATAAAATTTCTCTGAAACTGTCCAAGTGGGAAGAGGTCTCAAAGTTGCAAAGGTTCACTAATAAAGCAACTTCACAATTCTTTCAGATGTGTAAGAAAAGTTGTTTACGGGAGAAAATGTCTGGTTCCCGATTACATTATGTTATTACGCCCTTTTGACAGGTTTTAGTCACATTAAGCAATTTTCTGGAAAATAAAGTTAATTTTTGTTGCTGAGAAAAAATTTGTTTGTCATCACACCGCACAATCTTCACCATTCAGCAACGGACACTTAAAAAATAACAAATACTAAACAGAAATAAACCAGAGAACACATGCTATGAAATTTCCAGCGCTACAGATAAACACATTTCTTTGCAAGTTATGCTAGAAAAGGTTCGTACTAATACACTACGCTCGCAAATGAAATCAACGAAATCGGTCGAGCGATAATTCATATTAAAGCCCATCCAGTCGTAATTGGAACGACATTTAAACACAGGTAGAATGAAAGCACCATGACGCTCAATAATAAGCAAACAGAACCTCGACCAATCTTGGATTTTTTTAAAAATTATTTTGTTTCATCTTTAACATAGCCAACTGAAAATTAGAAAAGAGTAACGAACGCAAGGAAACTGAACAAAAAACAACTTGTTTTTTCAAAAATCTTCAACTTTTGAATTTCCAAGAAAAAAATGGATAGCCTTTAAGCTCTTTGGATTTGAAGAATAATTCTTGATGGATACTTTTTTGTTAAAAATAACCCCATTTGAGAAAACTGGATCAATAGGTAAAACTTTCATTTCGCTGGGAAATCTGATAATTAATTTCCATTTGCGAAATAAGAAATCGATCACGTTTTTCGTGCCCAATAGAATTTTGCTGTTCGATAGTGGAGATTGCCTTCCTTTTAACAATAGAAAAGCACTGAATTATAAAAAGTCAAACCGCGCAAAAATCAAAATTGAGCGAGAACAATTTTTAAGACTTTTTCCTGAAAAAAAATCAGCAAGAGCTATGTAAGAGTACTCACTACGTTCATTACTCTTATAAATTTTTCAAAGAGGTCCTAGTGCGGTTGACTTAGGGTATTCAAATATTGGTGCCAGCGAAAATGTCTGGTCCCAATTACATTTGCCATTTGCTCTCGCGTAAACAGCCAAACAAAGACTTTTCCATGGAAAAAACGCAAAAAAAAACAACAAGCGTCTTCACTTCTATTAGTTACACCTAAAAAAAATGAAGGCTATTTTAACACTAAATTTGAAAACGATTTGATAGTTTAACAAAATTTAGCGAGGTGAAAAAAACTAGAGATGTTCCTCACTTTACAATACATTTGATTTAGCCGTATTAGTAAAGTAAGCTGAAAACAGAATTTTGAAAGCTGGATAGGGAACATCAGTAATTTTGGTTTCTCCTTCGCCCTCAGTTGCGCAATTTCATTACGCCAACTTAAGTCTATCCCATTTTCGCTCCTTTACCCTAGCCCCTTTACACCCATCAAATTATACCACCCCATAATAATTAAAGCAGATACTCGCGAGGCTATAAAATTTTGTAAGTACGTTGAGCAATTCGGCTCTTTTTCCTCAACACCCTCCCCACCTGTTGATTAATACTTGTAATTCAAAATATCGATTCTTTTCCTCCCCCACAGATTTGAAATTCAATTTTGAAAAACCTTTTTAACATTGACATAATGCAATAAAATTTATCATGACGAATAAACTAATTATTGTAAACAGATTTGTTATTCATATTTTTACACCGTGAGATCACGCCTGTAGCCATAATAATACCAAAACAACTATGAAACTAAAAAATTGAAATGAGGGAAAAGCTGAAAAAAGCCAACTTTTCCGATTACAGTTTAAAAAACGAGAAAAAGCCAACTTTTCCAATTAGTTTAAAAAACGAGAAAAAAACTGTCATACTGAGAAAAAACATCTTCCTGATCCGCTTCAATACCAACATGCTATTTTCTGAATCTGCCTTAATACAGAAAAATTATGTCACTACAAAACAACCGAACCTCAAAGACAAAACAAAATAAGCCTTCATTTTCAACCTTATTAACATAGGCATCAGACAGTCGGAAAAATCTCAATGAACTCAGGTAACTGAAAAAAGACAAACTTAAGCATTTCAAAAAACTTAAATCGACCTTCGAAACAAAACTTCATTCGCCTTTCTTAGCGCCATTTCCAACTACGTAATTTGAGAGTCCCTATCTTCCAATTTCGAGAAACGTGTATGATGGAAACATTTTTAGAACTAATTAATTTGAGAAAACTGAAGCTAAAGCTTTTTTTTTATTTCGCTGGGAAACCTAAAAATTAGAAACTTCTTTCGAAACTAGAGGTAGTTCACGTTTTTCATGTTTTAAAATTTTTTGCTGTTCGAAAGTGGAGTTTGCCTTCTTTTTAACAAAGAAAATAAACTGAAATCAGAGCACAGAGGCAAAACGGAGCTTCGCACCACTTGCAATACAGCACAGTCATAAAAAAGTAGAAAAAAAACGATATATGTTGAAAAAAACTAGGAGAACCTAAATGAAGGACAAATAGGGCCCAGCTTAAGCTGGAGGAATGTCTAATTTTTTTTGAATTTAGTTATATATACAAACGCGGGACGAAATGCGTAATTTCAAAAAGCAGACTTTGCTCAAAACCTTAGTTGTTTCTCTACTAAAATAAAAAATAAGTAAGAGCAAAATTTTTTAGGAGTTGCTTAGAAAAATTGTGCGTTGCAAACTTTAAAACTAAGCTTCCAACAACCTGTTGGATCGATTAAGCCTATAATATCAGATTTGGCAGGTTAAATATCGAGCAAAACGCCGAGCAAAACAAATCATAAAGTTGACATTTCCGAGAATCATAGCTTTTTGTTATAAAAAATTGCGCAAAGCCGCATATGGAGAAAAGATTCATCCAACTTCTAACTCCGATGGAACCCAAAAACCCAGGTTTGGCAGGTTAGTTCTCGAGAAAATTCAAAGATTCAACAAAAGGTCAAAAAATCGAAAATTTCACTATTACGAGGGTCATAATTTTTTTCTAAGTTGGGAGTAGCCGCTAATGGTGGGGAGCTTTCAAATCCCTTCTATTCATTGAAAGCAGGGTTTCAGATTTGCTAGGTTAGTTTTCAAAAAAAATGAAAAAAAAAATATCGGTCAAATTTTCCCCCCACAGAACTTTTCGAAGGCGTTAGACAAAGGAGTAAAGCAAAAAGAGACCAGGGGAGTAGGCAGACACAAAAGCGTGTAGGCGCTCTTTCTATGGACATCCCTTTTGAAAATCGGTAGAATTGTTCTTGAACCTAATTTTTTTTTGCAAAAAATGATAAAAATTTCAAGTGTTTTAAAAAAAATTAAAAATGAAAAATTTATTTCAAATAGCAAAACAACAACTGAAGCATGAAACCAAGATAGCACCGGGAGTGAAAGAGTGCACCATATGGGAAATCTATCAGATAAAAAGGCCGGATGTTGGCAATGACATAAGAAATTCGCAGAAAGTGAGATACAAGGTGACAGAGAATTAGAATTAGAGGATCATTAAAACTTCATCGAGAGAAGCTTGAGGGCGTAGAGTTCCGATGACACATGCTGCGTTAGACATCTGTATGCAAACTGATATTCTTTGCCTAAGGAAGGCAGAAGCACGGGCTTCGTTGGTGGAATCTTGAATCAGCTTGCCGAGCTTTGAAAGAAAACGTTTGGTGTCCGGTCCTGCGCCTCCTTGTATTTCGAATGCGACAGGCTGAAACAAGTAGCCTCTGTTGATGATTTCAGTGTATTTCATTCTTTTCGTCTCTTCTGCTGTAGTCGCTGCTTTCAGGGGCTCGAATGAGTCAATTCTACTACTGCACAATGCGTCCACGACCGTGGCATCCCATACCATTGGTTGGCCTTTGGACCAAGGTGTAGACGTGAGCCCATCCGGCCTTTTCCGATCTGCGCGGCAAAGTCCAGGGGGTTCTAATACCGAGTGTATGTTGGCGCTGGCAAGACCCCTCTTCACTATGTCATTCAAAATCGAGTGGCGAGTATGACGGCCGGCGCTCATTTTGCAAGCCAAACCATGGTGGCCATCTTCAGAGACTTCTTTACCGCATCGGCATTGGTGGGTTTCGCACACTTTGCCGCCTAAACGCAGTGCCACACTGATGCGGAGTTGGATATCTGTGAGTTTCAAGCCAAAGTTGGATGATGGCAGAGCCTGCAGCCAGCTTCCCGCCATCTTTCCAGAGTAAGCTTCTATTCTATTGTGGTCTGTCAATGAACAGTTCTCAAGCATCGAGGTTTTTAGGTTCTCGAATACTGACCAAGTCCAATTCTTTTGGTTGCATCTATTAGTTGGTGGAAGTGCTTGTGCAGTATCACCCCAGAGTTCCAGAGCAGTTTCTTCGTCGCCTGTTGGTCCGGTACAAGTGGAGATTTGGTCTGTCAAAGCAGCGCAAGAGCTCGCGGAGGATAGAAATAAGGACGTCGCAAGCAATGACGCAGATGGCAGACCCAGGCCACCCACTTTAACAGGCAGACAGGCTTGGATGCGAGAAGAATCTGTAAGTTGAACATTGGTGATTTTTTCCAGTGTTGAGGTCAGAATGGAATCATAGTTGGAGAGTATGTCGAGGTGCATGAAGCACGGTGACGTTCGGAGCAGAAATGTCAGTTTCGGTATACTGAACGAGTTTTTCAAAAGAAAAAGCGCCGAGTGTGCCTCGATTTCGACCAGGCGTTCGCTCAGTAGCTCAAGATCTTTAGAACGTTTGGTTAATTTGTCAAGGACACAGTCAGCACCCATGCCTGCACCAAGGATGCATAGGTCATCCAGTGGAGTCTCTTGTATAGCAGGGCAGATCGTGTTGAATAGTTGCAGTATTTCGAGTTTGAGCTTTTCACTCGGTGAACCTAGGAAAGTTAGCTCACATTTCGAAGGCTTAACTTTCAGATCAAGCATACGAGCGCGCTCTATCACCAGTTTCAAGTCCTCGAAAACTACCCGGAACTTATCAGCAAGATTCCCATCGTCCAGATACCAGAAGTTAAGAGCAGAAGTCAGCGAATGAATCATGTCGTTAATCGTGTCACAGAACATGGGCGGCCCCTCCGGGTCTCCTTGTTGAGCTCCTTCATCCGAGTTCAGAATATGAGATCCAAAGAACAGATAGGAGGGTTGGCTATAGGCTGAGAACGCAAAATTTTTCAGGCGAGGGTACTTTTCGCTAATGTTCTCCAGCATGTGTTGCCTTGAGATTGAGTTGAAAGCATTTTCGAAATCAATTTTGACTAGAACGTGTTCATCGCTGAAGCCTGGAGAAGATAGGAATTTGCGGGTGGCATGGACTGCCGCCTCACATCCATTTTTGGTGCCGAAGCCCAGTTGAGTAGATCCATATGAACATTTTCTTTGTTCTAATAGTTCGTGGTCTTTGCCGGCACATTTCGCTGCCAATCTGCGAAGTGTGTTGCCGACTTCTATGGGCCGAACGCCGGAAGGTTTTTTGAGTGCGAACAAATTTGCCCCGAAAAAGAAAGGTCTGATATCAATCGGTACACCACCGCTCAAGATGATATTTGTGAGCCCGGTCAGGTCTTCAATCAGTTTGTTTGATGTTTCGTTACACATTCCAATCATGTCTTTGATAATTTGAGGCCTCAATTTATCAGGCCCACCGGCTGAGCCGTTCGGGAAAGAATTTATACAAGAGTGAACCATAGAACCCACAGTATTGATACATTCTTGTTCTTTGTTTCCCTGAACAGCATAGGCGAACTTGTGCCGGGAGTGTTTTTCTTCCATCTCATTTACAATTTCGGGTGTAATTTCAGGCATCGTGTCATTGCGTGAAGCTATCCTTATGGCACCTCGGATATTGCCATCATCAATTTTCTCTTGGACCCTTCTCCTGAGACTCAGTTTCTTTTTTCGACTTCGCCTTTTTTTCGGCTGCTCCGGAATCTCAGCTGTGCCGGAAAAAGATCTTATAGCTGAGTTGACTGAACTGGTGAGGTTTGTTCGGTGTTTTTCCCTCCTCTGTCAGTCGCCTTCAGACAGTGGGTGGGGATACTCATAGGCTTCAGCCAATTGGAAACTTCGTCAGGGTGTTTGGAGATATCGATGATAACTTCGCTATAGAGACAGGCTAAGTTGACTCTTGCTCCTTTCGGGACACGTTTGAGTATGGGGACTTTAGCGGAGAACAGCTTGCGGAGATAGGTGGAAGCCTCGGAATCAGGAGGGACGTTCTCTATTCTGAGATCTCCCATTAGTTGAGAAACGCCGCTAGACTGGTGCTCGGGCGCGCTACCAGTATGAGTCAAGTCCTGTGGAGGGATATCATCAGCCAAGACAACTGAATCCGGTAGGCAGCGGTTGCAGATCAAGCCTGGCTTCCAGTGTTTAGAACTCGGTAGGGGAGTGTGCTTGAGGTGAACAAAGCCGCATATGCTACACCAGACTCCTCCAACCCTTAGATGCTTTGAACACACGCTGCAGTGAGTCTGATCTACTTCATCTTCGGTGACCGTTGGTTGCTGTTGCTGCATTTCGCGTAGGTGTCACATTCACATATATGAAACTATTTAATAAGTTTATCTCAACAATTAGGCTCCATCAAACAAAACTTCTAGGCAAACATGCTAAGCAAAAAATTTGAAATTCAAATTAGCAACTGAATAAAATTTACGAAGCGGAAACAAGGCCGACATTTGAGCAGACACCAGTTGAGCCGAAAAAAAAATTTTGTTTAAAAACTTTTTAAAGTTTAAAGTCGCCCCAAGATACAATAATAATGCTGAAACACTAAGAACAACTACACTGAAAATAGTTTACAGCAAAAATAAAAAATTAGATGTGGCAATTAAAACGACAAAACATAAGCAGACAACTGTTAGTCCGAAAGTTTTATTTGAAAGAGAAAAATATCGAAAACTGAAAAAAAACAGGTCTTGTCAGATACGAACTCACGAACTTTGACGTCCCAGGCATATTCGTTACTTCCAGACTAAGTTGTCCGGGAACGCATAGACGTTTGAACTTACTATGGGCCAAGATACAAGAAGTGAGTCAACTGATTTTGTTAAACTAGTTGTTAACTAGAAAAAAGTATATATTCCAATTTGATAACGCTTGCTAATCGCAAGCGTAAAGAAATCGTAAGTCCTCCCAAGCAAAATCAAATTTAAGAAAAGAAAAAATTATCACGACCCAGATAAGTGTCTTCACCACGATCATTGCCAGTTGAAAATCCAAAACTAAACCGCAAACACAAAAAAACAACACGATCTATATAAACGCACTTTCCCAAGTTTCTCAAGAAACTCAAAACATTTGACAAAAACAATGTTTTCTGCGCTATGAAGTTTCTGAGTTTCTTGGTTTGACCTCAGGATTGCAAATTGGATTGGAGGCTGGCAAAATCTAGAAGAAGTTGAAATTTTCTAATCCGAACAATCTCTTTACAAAATTACTAACACTTTCTGTTCCTGAAAATGAATGCTTTTCATTCAATACTATTTTTAAAACAAAAACAAGATTGTCTAGGATTCTTTTTGACACACCATCTCAATAGCTTCTTTTGAAGTTTGCAATAGGAATAACTCATTAGATCACACAAACAACCATCAGATATTTGGAAAAAAGTCAAGGAACGCAAGTAAACTGAAATTCGAAAGTGGAGATTTTTTTAAAAACAAGTCTGTTTTTTTTCTGAAACAAAAGATTTCAAAAAAAAGATTCACTTGAAGCTCTTTGTATTTCTAGAAAATTGATGATTATCACTTTCTCGATAAAAATAATATAAGAAAACTGAAACAAAAAGAAAATATTTCATTTCGCTGGGAAATCTGAAAATTAAACTCATCTTACGAAACTAAAAGCCACTCGAGTTTTTCTTGACTTCACACTTTTGCTGTTCGATAGTGGAGTTTGCCCTCCTTTTAACAATTTAATTGCAGTGAACTTAAAATTTTAAGCTTTTGTCATGAAAAAGGAAACAACAAAATCACCAATACGTATATACGAGTATTCACTACGTTCATGACTCTTAAAAATCAAGACTCTTAGAGTTTATTTGCGAGTTGGCATAGGAAAAAAAAGTTCGTACTAATACACTGCGCTCCCAAGAGTAATCAACGAAATCGGTCGAGTGATAATTCATATTAAAGCCCATACAGACGTAATTCTAACGACATTTAGACACAAGTAGAATGAAAGCACCATGTCGCTCAATAATAAACAAACAGAACCTCGAACGATATTTTTAATTAATGAAGGAATCGAATTGTTTAAAAAATATATTGTGTTTCATCTTTAAATTAATTAACATAGCCAACTGAAAGTTGGAAAAGAGTAATGAACGCAAGGACTCTTAAAAAATCAGTTTTTTTTTCTTCAAAAATCTTCATCTTATGAATTTCGAAGAAAAAAAACAGATGGCCTTAAACCTCTTTGAATTTGTAGAACAATTTATAATGGACACTTTTATGGTCAAATTGAGAAAACTGGATCAATAGGTAAAACTTTTATTTCGCTGAGAAATCTGATAATTAATTTCCATTTTCGAAATTAGAAGTCGATCACGTTTTTCATGATCTTTACAATTTTGCTGTGTGATAGCTGAGTTTGCCTTCCTTTTCACAAAGGAAATGAACTGAGCTTAACAAGACATCATAAGTCAAACCGCGAAAAAGGAAACTTTAGCCTGAACAAATTATAAGACTTTTCCTAAAAAACGAAAGATTAAAAAATAATAATTAAAATCATCGCGACCTATATAAGAGTCTGAACTATGTTCATCGACTCTTAAAATCTGAACCACTAAAAATGTATAATTATTTTTTCTGGAATTCTGCAGGGGAAAAAAGAAGATTCAGCTTTCGGAATAGTAGTTTCGATGTTCTTGTGACGTGTTGTGAGTTAAAAAGAGCTAAAATGACCTATACCCAAACTTCAGACGTACTTTGTAGTAAATCAAAGTATTTTTAATCCTAAGATTTTGGATTAGAGCTGCAAAAGTCAAATCCCTGCATATTGAAATCAATCTGAAAAAAAATACATGAATTAATCAATGATGGTCCACTATTTACGGCCGTATATGAAATAAGTCAAAATTTGCGGCTGGATAAAAAATGACACAAAAAACGGCTGTTTTTCACTCTCTGCCACCTTAGTTGAATTTATTTTTCAAATACAAACAAAAAAGTTTAACGCAGTCATAGTGTCAGGAATGAGTTTTGCACGGTTAATAAAAAACTAATTATTCTGAATACTTTTATTTACACAGAGGCAAACCGGAACGTCGCATTAGTTGCAATAAAAGGCAAGCGTATCATTTCCAGCTGGCGAATGGAAATGACAGGCCAAAATTTTTTAAAATTAAAAAATGAGAAGAAACACAAAAATCGGGCTGTATAAAATAACATAAAATTTTTCTAGCTTTATTCAGCGTCATTGCCTGCTTTTTTTCTCAGCTGGCAGCTCTGGAAGAACGTTTCATTTCGAGGTTCTTAAAGAAATGAAAGAACAGTTTTGTAAGAACAGTTCGGCTCGGCCATTTCTGCGGCATGATTGTTTTTTTTACTTTGACAATTATTTCTAAATAATCGAATAAAAGCTAGGAAGAAGCTTTTGTTGCATTCAAATTACTGATCTATAATAATGAGTTAGATAGCCGAAAAATTTCGGTGAGTACTAGCATCGTGAAATCTGATTGGCTAATTTCAAAAAATTCTCAATTTTTTATGCTATTTTATCTTTATGCTAAAGTTACGGTCCATTTACCCAAAATTAACAGAGTCGTAAAAATATAAACAAATTAAAAAGTGCGGAGGGGAGCGTAAAAATTGTTTTCCCATGAAGCGACCCTAAATTATGTTATTAAATCACTAAAAATAGGCCGAAATAATTTGGGCCGAATAAAGTTTTAAGCGAAACAAAAAAAAGGAAATACGAAGTCAAGGTAAGTAAAATTATGAATTGCAGGAATATATCAATCACTAAAAGCAACATTTAAAAAATGCTCGAAGCAAAAAATTGTTCCAAGATGCAGCAACTAAGCCGTAAAAAGATAAGCAGACAAATAATTGGCCGATAATTTTATTTGAAACAGAATATTTACCGTTAAAAAACAAGTCCTGGTCAAATTCGAAAAAGGGCCTTTGCCGCCGGCCCAGGCGTAATCGTTACCTCTATGCTAAAAGAGCCGTGAACGCTAAAAATTTGAATAAAATATGAAACAAGGTACCACAAGAGATGAGTCCAGTGAACATAGTCATTTACGAGGAAAAAAGTCTTGTGACCGATTGCAATACCCTTGCTTATAGCAAGTGTAAAAAGCCGATGAAACATAAGCCGAAACCATTTTAATTTTAAAAAAAGAAGATAAAAAACTTAACCGAAATATCCGAGTTGGTAAGCTGAAAAAATGATATGACGACTTTCATTTATAATAAGAATAGTTTAATTTAGAAAAAAAATCGATCTTTTGCAAACTAATCCGACAACATTAGCAGACCTAAATTCATTTTTTCCGGAAAAAAACTGCAGTTTCAGACATACTGTAAAAAAAATAAGGCCCGTCCGGAACTCGAGCCCCAGACTTAAGGGAGCAAAGGCGGTCGTGTTACCTCTAGACTAAGAGAGAATGATCCTGAGAGTTGCTAAGATAATATAAGACAGCAAGTTAAATTTCTTACAGATTTCTAATAAAGTTGTTTGCTGGAAAAAGTCTCGTTCCCGATTACAAGATCATTCCTCTCGCAAGTCTAATCATACGTTCAACTTGCAATGTCAGAAGAGCCCTAAAACGCATAACTGTGCAGCAACAACCATGATTAAAAATATTCAATTCAAATAGAAGTTCACTCTGGCACTAGCAATACTTCAATTCACATAACATCAATAAATTAATAAACAGTATAATAACCGAAATGTTACCATTTACTACTGGGATTCTAACTGGTAACATTATATGCCTCTCAGCACATCAAGGAATATAATCCATCCAATTGGCGAAGAAGGCTTCAAATTTCATTTTCAGATGAAGAGGAACAACTGGGTAAAACGTTCCTTTAGGTATTTGATCAACTGAAGGCTGGACGCCAAACTTTTTCAAATAGGCCTCACACGGAAGCGAGTTGCACATAAGAACCGGAAGATTCCACTGGAATGGGAAAAGAATAGCTATTGCAAATGTACAGAATCGAGGTTGAGCGGTGGGAGGTTGAATAGCTACAGTAGGGACTTGGAATGTCTTAAGCCACGCCTTCAACTCCAGGTGCCAATCTAAGATCTGTAAGAATTCGAACGTCTCACAGTCGAGGGCGTCCAAAACGAAGTCATAAGAGCTTTCCAGTAGCTGCACATCTCTAACCACTCTAACTCGGGTAGCTTTTTCGAGGAGAGAAATTTCGGTGCTTTCTGCTGCGCGACGGTTGACAGTTCCACAATACGCGGTAATTTGAACTTTGGGCATGGAGAACGAAAGGTATCGGGCAATAGCCATTCCAAATGATCCACAGTAATGAGGCCCTGCTATCAATAAAATAGATTCACACTTCCGAGGAAGCGAGTAAATGTAGTTGCGTATTGGCACAA